ATGCCATCGCGTCGCCTTCTCTCCATCGCCGACGTGGAACGGAAGCCGCCGCGAGACGCCTCCTCCCTGGCGCGGCTGCTGCTGGACGTCGTCGGCCGTGAGATGCGCGACTGCTCCCTCGTCCTCGCAACTGACGGGCGCTTGGAGACGTCCCAGGTCACGAGGCACCTGCTGGCTCTCCCCAATGCGAGGCAGGTGGGTTGTGGGGCGCGCGGGGCCAGGGTTGTGGTCTCATGCACGCTTTTCTATTTTGTTATTTTCGTTTCGTCGCCTTTGGATCTTGTTTTTTCCGTTATTTTCCTTTATTTCATAAAAATATTTTCCTTATCCTCACGCCTTTGATATTCTCTTTTCGATATAATTCACGTGTATGGATATCTTACACATTCCTTACTAATCCCTTCCCAAGCACACTTATAACGCGTCCTCGCAGGTGGTGTACGTGGAGAGCGCCAAGGACTTAAAGAACTTGAATTGGATTAAGTCCTCGTGCGGAGGATACTTTTTCCTCCTGGGCGACCCGACGCCGCTGCTGGCTTTCGGCGAGGAGGACCAGCATTCCTGGGATTACGAAGGGAAGTGAGTTCCTTCGCGTCCTTTGTATCTGACTCTGGTTGCCAGCGTAGGTCTCGGCTTTTGAGCCAGAGTAGTTGGACGAGAAGTGCATACCAGAGTTTTTATGTTTGTTCAATGTGTTGTTTATTTATTAATTTGTTTCTGTTAACGTTCCTGGCTCACCTAAATTCTTAGCTAAATCATAGCTAGGATTTTACTTTTTAATTTTACCCATAACAGGGAAATTGCAAACTAGCAAATCTTTGACCGACCTCCCTTTGCCAGATATGTAATCGTGGGACTCTCGATCGATCAGTTAAATCAGTTCACCCGAACCAACAAAGGCAAGAAGACTGAGCATATAGTGGGGGTTGTTCAGGTAGGTGTTAGCGGATGAAGATGAAATTATGTGAATTCTATCAGCGTAACATGAAATACATTCAGAGAGAGAGAGAGAGAGATGACGGGTGAGCGAATATGAGAAAATAGACTGCGGGAAAGCGAGTACAAAAGAGAGAAAGAGGACAGAGTGAGAAAATTGGCCGAGATAAAAGGGGCGATCCTGCCCGAAAAGTCGCAAATATCTCTTGGCAAGTCCCTTCCAGACCGGGCGCGATGGCGAGTACAGCCTGTGCATGAATCAGCTGTACTGGGGCGAGGGCGTGGAATGCGTCAACACGTGGCTGCAGCAGAGGCGTTCGCTCGAGGCCGCCATCTTCCCGGATAAGATCTCCAATTTGCGCCAGGCTGCCTTGAACGCAAGTTGTTCTGGGATGTTTGTTGTTATATCAGCTGCTGTGGAGACGATGTGTAGATATAACGATGTTCATGTTTAGGGATGGATTTAGGTGGATGGTTCAGATGGGTGAGGTATATCGCGTCATATTGAATAAAGTGTATCATTTATATAGATAGATCAATAGAGAGACAGGCAGGCATATGGACAAATAGACATGAATATCCACTTATGAATCGCATAGGTCGTGCAGTTCGAGATCCCGCCCAGCATCGCCTACCACCGGAGGCCCGACGGCTCGCTCTTCATCTTCGGCCAGGAGGTGGAGCTCGTCCTGCTGCTGGCGCGCTTCTTCAACTTCTCCATCAGCTACCAGTGGCCGCCCCCGGGTGCGTGCGACGCCCGTGCTGGCGGTTTGGGTTTATTGTTGTTAACTTTGACTTGTCGTTAGAGCATAGTGTGCACCATTATTACTGTCCGAAAAGCAGTAAAGAAATATAAAGGCAGCTTACATCGGTTCGCAAATTAGATATGAAATAGTTTTCATGTTTCGTATTTTAAAACATACATGACATTATGTTTTCACAGAAATTTGCTGCCTTAAATACCTCAGAAATATGGTGAATCGAGTACTCCAGGGTTCAGGCTGTTGCAAGTGTTTCCTTCCGTGAAACTGAACGTAGTATACCGATGCCTTTCTTTTCAGGGGAGATGTGGGGCGAGAAGCTGGCCAACGGCTCGTGGAACGGCCAGGTGGGGATGCTGGGGCGCGGGGAGAGCGACCTGGCCATCTCCAACAGGTACATCACGTCCCATCTCGGGCGATTCGATTTCGAGCACTACAGCGACGCTTACGATGCTGATGTTCGTATTGCTGACCTTTTTCTCTTTTTCATTACTGGTGATATTTAATTTCTTTAATTCATACTATATAATTTGACAAATTGTCTGGAAATTCCTTCGTCAAATAGGGTATAATACAAACTTGGACAGTGTAATAACTCTATCCTAGTATGTTTGCAATGAAGTTTTGTCAATCGAGACCCTCTGACAAGGTCACAGATTCTCCCGGGTCAGATTAACCTGGTGTGGCGCCAATTGTTCATCCTGGCCACGCCCTCGCCGAAGTACAGCTGGTTCATGTACAGCTTGTACTCGCCCTCGTGCTCGGACTGGAAGGAATTTGTGCTTTAGTAATATTAAGATTTT